TAGACTCTTTAAATCATGCGTAGGGCCTTATTTTTAAAGATCTAACTATAATGGTCATTTAATAAATATATTTTCGTGAGACAACCATTCTTGTAATCTAGACTTTTTAAGTCATGCGTGGGGCCTTATTTTTAAAGATCTAATCACAATGGTTATAATTACGAAGGCCATGGGGTAATGTATAAAAATCCCCGCTCCCACTCAATTTTTAATAATATATAACTAGGGTCTTCAATTCATGATTTAATGCATCCAAAACGCCTTGATTTTAATCCAATTAAATTTAGAAAATATATATGGATTTTACATGATTCACTAATATTTAATTTGAGGCAAAAAATAATTTACAAAAATAATTTTTCTGTTTCCCAATAAATGCCCTCAAATTAATTAGTAATCTAATCCAATTTATCTTCATAATTTAATTAATATAAATCAAGCAATTTAGTTAAAAAAATCATGGATCCAATGCATGAACAATTATAATCAGTATTAAATTATTCCATGCATCACATAAATAATTTAAATAACAGACAGAAGCAATATAAATGGCCAATGGATTCAGCTTTTAACATCTAAACATTTTTCTTGCTGTATTGGCGTTCTTCAACAGTCTGTAAACACCCATAGGAAGCTTGTACGCGTTAGGAGAAACAAAACGCTGCTTGGAACGAGCCCCGAGGACCCCACACGCGTTGGCATGCGCCTAGGGAAGGTGGCAGGTCAAGGCACGCGCTTGCGGCGCGTGGGACGCGCCTGCACGCGCGTGGAGAAGGAAACACCCTTGGCTGGCGCGTGAGATCCACGCGCCAGCATGTCCTTTATATGCCACTTCCTGGCGAGTGAGGAACATGCACCAGGCTCACCTTACCTGCATCACATGTGATTCCAGCCTCCTCCGATGCCTTTTCTTGCCGCCGGCGATGCTCCGACCACCGGAAAAACGCTGAAAAATTCCAGAAAAATTAGAAAAATTCCCAGAAAATTAAATTAAGCCTCGAAAAATTCCAGAAAAATTCCAAAAAATTCAGAAAAATTCCATAAAATTACTGAAGCATAATTTAATTCTTTCGGACCTTCTTGAAGCTTCATAGCATCCTTTGATGAATATTACATAGCTTTAATAAATACTTACAATTTGAAATATAATGGGAAAAATTAAATTACATCATTGAATTTTCAAACGGCTAAAACAAAGCCTTAATTACATTCATCCAAAAATAAAATTACATTCAATATACCTATAAGCTTCATCCATGGCCAAAAAATACATCATCATCCATTCACAATTATACATACATCATCATGTGTTAATATATATCAACATAATAAATCATACATCAACATACATCAATAAATATATATATGTATATATGATTTCGTTTCATGAACATGATTTTTATAAACACATGATCTCTGGTAATGAATTAAACCATGTGCTCTGATACCACTGTTGGGAAACATGCAAGTTTTTAAAACTTTTGAGGGATTTGCAATTATGAATCTTGATTCATCACATAGAGACAAGTTTTATGCAAAAACAAATAAAAGATGATGTATGATTCAATAAAACAGATTGAATATTTACATCAAATGTCTGAATAAACCTTTTAATCTTTCCTCTAAAGTGAATGTTCTCACTTATTGCAAATCCCTTTAGCAAGATCTTTTCTCCTTCTTCTTGATTGTTATCTTCCCTTTAGGAATCACCAATATGCCTTAATGAATGACCTCAGAATCTAGGCTTGTGGTAGCCTCCTTTTAGAAGAGAAAACAAACCCTAAAATCTAGAGAGAGAAAGTGTATTCTTTTTTCTTGTTCTAAAAGTCACACCTAAATATACATGAACTTATTTATATATAGGCAAAATAAAAATAAGAATAAGGAAACAATAAATCATTCTCCATCTCTAATTCAACTTTCTCAATTCTAACAGGACTCCAATATCAACTTGGGTTATTGGTGAGAATCCTTTTGGGCTTACTATTTTCTTGGCTCCTATAAATTAATAATTGGTCCGGTCCATTAAACCATGGACCCAATTCAATTAATTCATAAATTAATTTCTACTCCACTAAAAGAAATTAATTACACTCCAATTAAATAGTAAATAACCTCTAAGTCAATGTTGCACTTTGACCCCTCTATGCTTAATTATTTATCAGATAATTAAAGCCATTAATCCGACAACATAATTAATATAATTATTTTGTTACCTTTGATTATTTCCGGCTCGATCACAATAAAATATTTATTTGACAAAAAATAATAATTTACTAAATAAATATATATTGAAAACATTTGTCTAAAACATACGAAGGCCTTCGAATTTAATTTGTGATCAACCATAATCAAAACAAAATAAATACAAATAGAACTGATGCAAATATTGAGGATATAGACCTCTAACTATTAATTACATAACTACCCAAAGTGTCGATCTAAGGATCCCGAGGTATCCGCCGAACAAATCAAAGTAATTATTAATTAATAAAAGAGTCTATACTTCTCACATGCTTGAGAGTCAAAAGCCATGACTGTGATAGAGAACAATTGCATACGACAACTCTCGCAATATATCTCAATCTATCGTGGACTCGGTTCAAGTCTTAACTAATTAAATGTCCATCCATAATTACCGACTTTAAACCATTTATGATTACTAATTTATAACATAGTATTAATTGCCATTACATACATATATAAATATATTTTGTAATCAAGTAGACACAATCAATTCCATAATGAATCGAAAAATAATACATTCCATTCACCAATTGTATAATGCTTTAATAATAATATCCAGATAAGAAATCATGACTTTTACAATCGAAAATTAGAATTTGCTATGTTGGGGCACACATATCCTAACATTACCACCCATAGATAACAGACTTATAAGTTACAGAGGAAGACCAAAGGTTAGATGGTGGTAATGAGCCATTGTTAGACACTTGGAGCGATTACAAGTACTCCATGCTATCTAAAAAACAGGTTTTTTTTTTTTTTAACTTCTATTGAACATGAAAGTATTTTCATTCATATGACTATATAGAGATGAACATCTAGATTAAAAAGGTAGTCTGGAAAAAATTTCCACAGTATCTTCAAATTTAGTCATGTGCTACTTGGAAAATATCTTCAACTGTTAAATATAGATGCTTCTGCTACACCACTGTGGATAAGTTTCAATGGAGAGTAACTTATGAGTTTTAACCTTAACTTTGGCTTCCATGCAATAGAACTACATACAAACTGATAGGTTGTTTAACTGTAAAACGGAGTGGGATAGAAATGCCCACAATTGCAAATGGAACCCTTGAACTGATGGTGGCAACTTGGCTACTTGGCGCAGTAAGAAGCAGAGGTGTCTCTGATGAGGTTGCAAGTTCACCTAGCCAAGTTATATTGGTGAATATCTATGTTTTTGTTGACTCAGTCAAATGTAATATAATATCTTTGGATTGCCTAATACATGCCTCTCAATGAAACCATAATGCCCCCAATTTTGATTAATTCAAGGAAGAATGACAAATAAGTCCGACTTTCACTTTCTAAAATCAAATGTAATATTTTATAGATGCTTCTATAAAATGAAAGTAGGACTTTCATGTAATTTTTCCGTATTTAAAATGAATGTTAGCCATGCATGAACCACAAGTGCTTATTGGAAATTGAATGGCATGTGTATTTCAAACTTTGAGTGTACTAGTTTCTAAGTCTCTATAGTTGTGTGGACATTTAGAGAAGTATGTATGTAGATATTTTTAAAGTATCTTTTTTTTTTAGAATTTATTGGAATTTTGTAATGTTTAATATGTAGTGTAACCTAAAATTTTATGTTATTTGGATCACACACATACATATAAAGTGTTGGACATGTGTTCAAAAAGTGTATGTGAAATGAATTCTTAACCAAAAAAATTAAAAATACTAAAGATAGTAGTATTTTATGAAAGTAATAGATTTTCGAAAAATCTTTTTCCAAGGATGCCCCCAACAATGATTATGTCATATGGACTTATTCAAATTTGGAATTTTTTTTCAAATTCTAAGTTTATATTTAAATATTCAAATTTGGAATTTTTTTTCAAATTCTAAGTTTATATTTAAATATAGAAATATTTGAATCCATGATTTGGTTAGTGGTTACTATGATTTCAATTAAGTTTATAGCTACTGTGATAGTCTTTTTTACCCATATTTTGTTGGCAGGATGCGGTGCATTCTCATTTTACACGAAACTAGCATTTGTACTATTGTGAGAAAATTTTACATATTTAGTTGGAAAATTTTGTTGAAAAAACAAAATTTAGTAAGACAGCAAATTATTTTGCAAAAATTCCATTTCTATCCTATGAAATTTTGTTTTGTTTTGTTTGTTTATTTGTTGGTAAAGGCTTGAATCCTGAAGTTGTTTCTATCACATACTATTTAATTTCGATACTTATAGCCTTATAGCATTAGCTTCTTTATGGTTGCAGATGACCTTTTACTACTCTGAATGCACATTCTAATGTCATTGCATTTTTTTCCCCTAGTAAGTAGATCATATTTTATATGTTCTAATTTCTCTGCCTTGCACTCTGCAATAGTTTTTCATGTTTGATTATAATTCAAAAATAGGAGTCGTGAGTTATTCATATTACTCATCTGTTTTTTGTCCGACTTCATGGTTATTTTGCCATCTCCCATATATGTAACAAGAACTTCTAATACAAATCATATTTCATCATCTTATTGTGAAAATTGAATGGAAGATCATTAATTAGCCAGAGAGAGAAAAGGAGGTGAAAACTAACGAACTTGATAAGAGTAGACCATATATCTTTTCTTATCATCTTGCACTCAGCAAAGTGCTTATGTAAAGTGTAAGAAAAATTGTTTTTTCATTCTGTAATTTTTAATAACCGCTTAGAATGGCAAAAGCAACTGAAATAGAAAGCAACATTTAAACAAGCAAACTCAAATATTGATGTCTATATGCAATAAAGATATGGGAAAGTACAAGTAACACACAAGCGTAATGAGTAGACGAACCATCTCCCCTAGCTGGAAGAAACTAGCAGAACAAGTACCGGCTCATCCCATACACACATCAAACATTATCAAATACCAAACCTATAAAAATGTTTATATGAAATGAAATAATAGTCTCCTATCATGAAAACATGATTCAAGGAGTAGTGGTTGAGTGATGAGGGCAGAGGAAATTAAGGAATGTGCAAGTCCTTTGGCAGGGTTGGAATGGTTGGGATTGTGGGCTTAGGCAGGTCAGCATTATTGGGTAAAGCCGGGATTTCAGGCAGTTTTGGGACTTCTGGCTTTGGCAGAGTCGCAAACTCAGGCTTTGGCAAAGTCGGGACTTGAGGCAATTCAGGCTTAGGAAGCTCAGGCAATGGTGGCAGCTCAGGTTTTGGTAGTGTTGGAACATGAGGAAGCGGTGGCAATTCAGGCTTAGGAAACTCAGGCAAGGTTATCTCCATAAGGTGTCGCGCCTCACCCTGCATTGTGTTTCCATTCATCGTTAACAAAGTGACAAATGAAAGCAGAAAGAGAAATGATATATGCTGATGAAGAGCCATCGTTGGAGCAGATCAGATGACAAGTTCCGCAAGATTCAAGCAAAGGGTTTCAAGCTTGATTGAACATGCATAGGTTTCCATATGTAAGGGTTTAAATAGATGATGAGGAGGTTTGGTTGGTGCGAAGAGTTGTGTATTGTTAGTTCAACTTCTCATCCGTATCACTTCTACAATAATCTATTTAGGGTAATCTTCATCCTAATATCTTTGCTGTCTGTTTTGCCATGTAGGATCTGTTGGAGGTGTTAACTGGTAATCTTGACTTCAAGTCTTCAAACTGGTAGGTTATTCAATCCTTCAAGAATGGGGCATAGTTGGCAACTAAAATTTCCCGCAATTTGTCTAATTGGAAAATTTGGATCATTGAGCCATAGCTCACATTTATGCAAATCAACGCCCTAAAAAAAGAATAAATTTCCTGTTACACCAACATTTATTTCCCGAAAAATAATATATATATTTAACATTTACCAGGAATGGGATGACAAGCCATAAAATGTGCACAACTAGAAATGCAATCAGGGGAAATGTGTTACAAGTATAAGCAAAAGGACTAACAATCTAGTTTCACTCTTGTGAATCTATCAAAGATCCAAATTTAAGTTAGCAGAAACAAACAGTTCTCTCTAATAATATGCAGGACCAGAATTCACCAATGGTGTGAAAATCACACTCCCTTGGCTGGAAAAAAAATGGATTTTCAAGCATGACAAAAGCTCCTAAACTTCAAAACTACTCACCTATTTGATATTTATACCTTATCTTGTTAGTGTTGACTTTTTGTTGTGAACACTAACAATTCAGAAAAATCATACTCCCTATAATAGTTACATCTTTTAAGCTGTGAATGCACCTGAGTTAGAAATGATAAAAAAAATCATTTTATTCTTGTCCCCATTTTAATAAAAAAATGTGAATTTGAATAGATTTTTCTGAATTGCCTAAAGAGAAGAATAGCTTATTCTGAAAGTTTTTCCCTTTGTCCCTAATCAATACAAAATCATATAAATGAAAACCCAAGCATGCTCAATCAAGCTTCAAACCCCTTTTGGTTAAATCGCGAGGCTCACTTGTCTTCTCCAACAATGGCCTATCACCACCATTCACCCCCTCTTTTCCGCTGTTGTTCGTCCTACAACAGAATCCAGGTAGAGGCAAGCCATTTTGTGGAGTAACCTTGCCCGAGGCACATAATTTCCACTAATTCCCCATGTCCCAAGAATCCCAACAGTACTGCAGCCTGAGCTGCCACCACTGCTCTATGTCCTAGCTTTTCCAGAGCCTGAGTTGTCTCCTGCCAAGCCAGAAGTGCTAAGACAGCCACCTATACTCCACTTCCTTGACCTTCCTTAGCCATGTCGTCCTCCATCTTAACACTCTTATAGGAATACTCTCCCCATATCACTCAATGCTACCACTACCTCAATGTTAATGCTGTCCTATGTGTTCCAGAGGATTTGATGCAAGCATAGAAACAGCTGAAAAATCGATTTTCGACTTTGTATGGACAATTCATGTAACTTTTGTTCTTGTGACCACCTGTTAGGTGTTATGTTCGAGTTTAATTAGGACTTCTATTTTAAGTTACAAATGCAAGTATTGTCATGACCCCGAATTTTTTAAGAAAATCCTCAATTTATACAAAATCAGATACATCAAAATACGCACAGAATCACAAATAAATGCCCTATTTTATTACAAAGTCAATTTCCTCAAATACAAAAAAATCTCCAAAATAAATAAAATAAATCCTGCAACGCCGACTCTTCACCCTAAGCCTGAATCTAGCAATCCTCGTCCATCTTCGGTACCTAAAACTAGAGGGTGGTGAGACAAAAAATCCTAGTAGGAAAAACCATAACAAGAATTTAATGGAGATTTAACAAAAACAGCTTCACAAAATATGCGTAGTCATGTAAGTATATAAACAAAATATATATGCATTTAATCAAAACCATTGAAGCAAAACCACCCCATGCCATTCAAGGTATAGAGAACCCTACATTGAAAAGAGATTCATTCCTCACTGGTTCATCAAGGCCTCAAGCTCCCGACCTCTTCTGCAACTCTCGCCTCCTCTGTGCAACCTCGGCTCCTCCTCTATTTCTCAAACTCTCAGCTCACTCTATCTTTATTTCTCTCCTTCTATACACTCTTTCTGTCTTCACTCTATTTTTTTCTTTCTACTCTGTCTCATCTTTATTCAGTGGCACAAACACACTCTTAAATAGACAATTCTACCGACTTCACAAAAGAACCAGCCAAGAAACCCACATGCATTCCTTTGCATCAGGTGCAATATATATATATATATATATATATATATATATATACAATCACAATAAAACAATTCAAAACCCATCATTAGTGGAACCCGCAGAACAACACACTATCTCATTATTTTCCTATTTAAATTTCGGCAACCACCTCTTCCTTCAAATGCTACACACAAATATATAAATATAATGCAACAAAAATCCAAATCCACTAAACTGAGTCTCCAATTTAAAATTAAATAAGATCACTAAAAATTATAAAATAAATTAAAATCTAAAAATTCGGGTCATCACAAGTACAGCCAGTAGCCATCCAGGATTAAAAAGATTGGTTGATGGGAACTGTTATTTGTTAGTTCTTGAAAACTTGATATATGTATTTGTTGCTGGTGTTGTGGGACTCTTTTATCTGTCTTTTCATCTATACTATGCTAATGCACAGTTAAAATTTTCTTGGAAAAGAAGTCTTTAACATGCATACATTTCAGAAGAAGCAAACTCTTCATGCATACATATAAGCCAGTGAAAGATTGATTTTTTTTTTTTTTTTTTTTTTTTTTTTTTTGTTTTTCTTCCTGACAGTGAAATTCATGTGATGGAGCAGGAATATTATTTGATGTGAGAAAAGAGATATAAAATTCACGATAGATTATGTTGTAAGAGCTTGAATCCTAGACTTGTTTCTACCCACACTGTACTATTTAATTTTGAGATTGACAGGCTTATAGCATTAGCTCCTTTATGTGTGTTTTACACACACATATATATATATAAGTGGAGTACGTACTGATCACTCGGGTGTATAATGACCTTTTACTGCTCTAAATGCACATTCTAATGTCATTGAAAAACTATAAATTTTCCTAGTACGTAGATCTCATTTATCTGTTTTTCTAATTTATCTGCCGCTTGCACTCTACAAGAGTTTTTCATATTCATATTCCTCATTCTTTTTCTCTGGCATCAAGGTGATTTTGCCATTTCCCGTGTAACATAATCTGCTCTTACATATCATATTTCACATTCACTAAGTTATTTTTTTAGGTCATTCACTAAGTTATTGTGAACACTAGATGGAAGATCATTAGACAGAGTGAGAAAAGAAGGAAAAAACTAACAATCTTGATTAAGCCTCCTAAAGACCATGTATCTTTCCTCATCACCTTGCACTCAGCAAAGTGCTTATGTAAAGTGTAAAAAAAAATGTTATTTCATTCTTTAATTTTTAAGAACCATTTCGACTAGAAGAAGCAACTGACATAGAATGATAGAAAGCAACATTTAAACAAGCAAACTCGAACATTGAACTCTATATATATGTAATACAAACACAAACATAACCGCTCATGAGCAGTGTCCTATATCTAGAAGAAAGTAATAGAATGAGTATCGGCTTATTCCATACACACATCAACCATTACAAAATACCAAAACTATAAAAAGGTTTACTCTCCTATCATGAAAAATAAGTAACATGATCCAAGGAGTAGTGGTTGAGTGAGGTGGGGAGAGGAAATTAACGAATGTGCAAGTCCTTAGGCAGGGTTGAAATGGTTGGGATTGTGGGTTTAGGCAGGTCAGAAAGATGGGGTAAAGCCGGGATTTCAGGCAGTTTAGGGACTTCTGGCTTTTGCAGAGTTGGCAACTCAGGCTCTGGCAAAGTCGGGACATGAGGCAACGATGGTAGCTCAGGCTTTGGCAATTCAGGCTTAGGAAGCTCAGGCAACGGTGGCAGCTCAGGCTTTGGTAGCATTGGCAATTCAGGCTTAGGAAGCTCAGGCAAGGTTGTCTCCAAAAGGTGTCGTGCCTCACCCTGCATTGTGTTGACATTCATCGAGAACAAAGTGACGAATGACAGCAGAAACAGAAAGGACAGATGCTGGTGAAGGGCCATTGTTGGAACAGATGAGAAGTGCCTCAAGAATCAAGCAAAGGTTTTTGACTTTTGAGCTTGATTGAGCATGCATAGGTTTCCATATCTGAGGGTTTAAATAGATGATGAGAAGGTTTGGTTGGTGGGAAAGGTTGTGTTGTTAGTTCAACTTCTCATCCATATCACTTCCACAATTGTCGATAATTTATATGAAGTTATCTTCATCATAATATATTTGCTGTCTGTTTTGCCATGTGGGATTATAGTTGGAGGTGTTAACTGGTAATCTTGACTTCAACTCTTAGGCAATCAACATATATTCAATCCTGATGTGGTGTGATAGCCCTACCACAGAGCATGTGTTGCTTGTGGCCGAAGGCTAAGTTCAAATCCCTGCTCCATCAATCAGTAGCTTTAACTTCCAAAATAAATAAAAACATATATTCAATCCCACAATAGTGTGGGATAGCTGGAAACTAGAAGTGCCCACAATTTGTTTAATGGAAATTTTGGATCATTGAACCATTGCTCACTTTGTGTGCAAATGGTGTTACAAGTGACCTCAGGCATGCCAGAGAGGTAGCAAGTTCAAGGATACCAGAAATTATGGTGGGCATTGTGCATGTTTCAACCCAAAATGTGCCCCATGTCACCATAGAAGTGATTCTAAAATTTAATAGAGCTACCTTATTGCCCTCACTTAACAAATCATGTCCCTCAATGTCCCAAAAAATATCTTCATAATATATATATGTGTGTGTGTGTGTGTGTGTGTGTGTGTGAAATGCCAATAATGCCCCTCAAATGAAATGAGACAGCTGAGAGGAATTTCCGAGCACGAAAGTCATCCCGACTCCCAAAAATTCTAAAAATGATCCCATCAATTCTAATAGTCTTAAAATAATTAAAAATGTATTTCTAAAACTCCCGAGCTCAAGAACATGTCCCGTACGATTCCCGAGACTCACTTGGCACGCAAAATGAAGTACAAAAAATAAATAGAAAAAAATTACCAAAAAAGTCCAGAACAATATAGAGTAAGTAATAGAGTTAAAAACTGAGTTTGATACCATACATGAGAGGAGCAATCATGTGGCTTCACAAGCACTGTGGACCTCGAGCATCAAGCATAGAAAGGACCAAACAAATAAAAGAAGTGGATAGACTTAACAGGAGCATACTTTAAGCTCGACCAGATACAAATGGTGAATAAGTTAACAAATGAAAACAAAAATAATAAATTTCTTTTAAAGAAAAAATAAAATAAAAGTCATATTAGGTACAAATCTAAACAAACTTATACCAGCAATAACTTTCAACGGCTTTACTTTCACTTATTGAGCCTTCTTTAATACATGCACGGAAATATGCAAATCTTATATATTGATTTAAAATTGATGTTCACTATTCTTATATAATGAACATTAATTTGGATATAGTGGCAAGAGGGTCACTGATTTGGTACGAAGAGCCAACAGATGAAGTGGGTAGGGACTGGCTTGTGGAATAGAGTAGAACCCTTAAAGTAGGATGTGTTACATACATAAAAGGGTATTTAAGGAAACTAACTAAATATAAAATTATATATGATGGGAAAAAAGTAACCCTAAATTTGACCAGCCGCCTTGAAGTGGATTGACTTAACTGGAGTATACTTTAAGGTTGACAGGATATAAATGGTGAATAAGTTGACAAATGAAAAAAAAAAATTTAATAAATTTCTTTCAACTAAGGGAAGACTATTTTCTAAAAATAAAGAAAAAAGAAAAAAAAGTCATATTAGGTACAAATCTAGACAAACTCATGCAAACAATAACTTTCCACGACCTTGCTTCCACTTATTGAGCCTGCTTAATTCAATACACGCATGAAAATATGCAAATTTTATATATTGATTTGAAATCAATGTTCATTATTCTTGTATAATAAAAATTGATTTGGATAGGGCCACTGGTTTGCTAGAGAGAGCCAATAGATTATGTGGGGAGGGAGCGGCTAGCGGATTAGAGTGAACCCTAAAAGTATAATGTGTTTATATATATATATATATATATATATTCATCCAATAAAAGTGTATTTTATTTCTATTTTTTATATACACTTTTTATATTATTGTACACGTGACGTTTTGGTTTTTAAAATCAGATACGTAGTTTTCAGTTATAAAAAAGGTTTATACAGTTTTTTCATTACATGCATCCCATCCACAATTTTAACCCTTCGGCGTTGTCAGTTTTATTTTTAAAATTTCAAAAAAACAAAACAATTTCCCTTTCTGTTTCCTTCTTTTTTAAAAAAATATATATATCAAACAGTTTTTACCCTTTAGTTGAAGACGTTGTCACTTGTTAGTTTTATTTTTAAAATTATAAAAAAATAAAACAATTTTCCTTTCTATTCCTTTTCTTTAAAAAAAAAAATTAAATAAATAAAAATCAAAGAGTATCTATTATTCAATGTTTTTGAACAATAAAAAACAAACCAACACATCTTCTTTTTTCACTTTTACACGGCGGTTGATGTATGAAGAACATTATATAATCAGCTGGGATCTTGCCTCTCTCATTCTCTCTCATTCCATCTCTTCTTTCAACATTTATTTTTGTCATCTAACTCAACTTCAAAGCATACACAAGAAAGTCAATATTTGGTTTATGCAGAGAACTCTATGCCTATTTTGGCTTAAGGGATGTTTTAATATATATTTCGCATTGCTTATATTTTTGTTTTTGAGAATATAGTGTCTAAAAAGGTTTTTCCTATTCTGAGCAAAAATTATTCATCATAGCGTTCTCAATATGCTTATTTTTTAATACCACCTCCATCCAAAAAAAAGTGTTTTTTTGGGAAAGCGTGTCAGTTTAATTTGTGAGAGTTACGGTTCTCCAAAAGTGACACTTTTATGGGATGGAGGGAGTATATATATAGATATAGATATATGCTATAATATCTGACGAGCTTGGCACGACACTGTACAGATCATGAATTAGTAGTTATCTATATTATGCATACAAATTCAACTTCAAAGGTGACGTCATGACATGAATCTTTCTCAGAACCAAACTCTGATTTATACATAAAAGGGTATTTCAGGAGACTAAGAAAATGAAAGTGTATATAAATATATATAATTTCTTATAAAATCGGGGTGGGCGAGTTACTTAATATACCTGTCCCCGCCCGTTATGAATTACGTCACCTATTTGGATATTCCCTTATATAAACCTAATTTTTTGTTGATTTCAAGCTGAGTTGTCTCAACGATATGTGTAGACACTAAAATTTTAATGGATCTTTGTTTTACGAATTGACTCAACAAATATAGGACTAATGTTTAATTAAGTTATTTAATCGGCCCAAACGTAGTCCACTTAAATTATTCAATTAGCCCAACTCTGATGATGAAATGAAAAAAGATAATTATTCCTAATAAAATATATTTGAAATAATTATTTTTTAAGAATAATTATTATAATATGACCGGCCTGGTTCAGTTATAATTTTGTCCTTATCAGGAGAGAACACATGTCATCATCCTATTAATCCAAGAAGCCTATAAATAGAAACATGGGGAAAGAAGGAAGGATGTCCATAAATCGAGAGACGCAGAAATCCAAAGGGCCAGAAATCCAGAGGGAGAGAAATTGATAATTCCAGAAATCTAGAATTCTAGAGAGAAATATAGAAGCTCGTGCCGTTCTTCATCAAAATTCCACAGTGATCATCAAATTTAACAAAGCTGAAGGTAAAGAACAACAAGCACAACCAAAGTCATGCCGTTCTTCCACAAATTCAACAAAGAATAACAAACATATCAAATCGTGCCGTTCTTCCTCAAATTCAACAAAAAACAACAAGCACATCAAAATTGTGCCGTTCTTTCCTTGCGATTCAACAAGTTTGAAGAATCTCCAAACAACACTGTTTGAGATCAAGCTTCGTCAGCCCTCGATCAAAAATCATCGGCGATCTTCTTCAACTACAAATACTTAAAGAAGATTGTCAACAACCCGATTCAAGATCAAGCTCCAACAGTCCTTGAATTCAACCAACAAAGGAAATCGAATCAGAGGATATTTTCTTTATTTTGTAAAGAATATTTAAGAGGATTGTACTCAAATTTTTATAAATTAATAAAATTATATTTACTCCCTATTTTGTTCTTTATTTGCAGACTACGAAATTTGTGTGTATAAATTTTTGGCACGCCCGGTGGGACATCCTTTGCCTCTCATCTCTTTCTCCTACATCAAATCTACAACACATTCTTATCGTCAGAATTTATGACTTTCGACAAGATTCAGACAAAAAACAAGAATACCACCAAGGACATCGCAGTCGTGACGGACAACATCATTACCACCACAAAAGGTGGCAAGAAGGTTACAACTTCGTTAAGTGGTACAAACATCTCTACAAGTTCAATGATGTGTGGAGCATGGTCAAAGCATTCATTCATGCTAAAAGATAACACAATGCGATGAAAGTCGATTCCGTCAAATCTGTCAAAGTAACAACTCAAGCTCATACCGCCTTCACCTTCTTGGGGGCAAGGAAGAAGGTTTCTACAACCTCAAAGGATCTGTGGCGTCACGAGGGAAGGGTTGACTAGTTTTCCCCGACCACATGGCACCTCCATAGTGTCGTCTGGGCCTACGTAGCTCAACCACACTAGAGTCTCTCTCTATTTCCCTCTAGATCACATTAACACCACAGACCACTAGGCGCCTCCTAGGTATCCGGTTTTCAAAAACACTTTCCAAAAACGTTTTCTCAAAATAATTTTATTGCCTTTTTAAAACAATTTTTTCTCCATTCCATGCCCAATGAAAATGCATAAATGCACCATGCCTCTTAAACATCATAATTCTTTATACATTTGAATTCTTAATCATAAACACAATTGGGAGAAAAATTATATAATACACAAATCATGCTTCTTACTATATCTCCGATAACTTAAATACATAAGGCATGAAATATAATCATTTAAGGCATGTTTTCTTATAAAATGACAACTAACACATAATCACATAACACATATACAACAAATAAATTATTTTTGCAAGGATCGACATGAATTAAGCATACTATACAACAATTCATTAAGAATAATTCACAAAAATCTAAGAAAAATGTGAATTAAAAATTTCTATCTCTTAATTAAAGAAAAGTCCCAAAATATGTTCAAAATTTCAAAATTCAATGATGGCCAAACTAGACTTTGTTATGATCAAAACGTAAATCTCTATGCGCTCGTCGATTTGCCTTCAGTGGAAAGTCAAATGAAAAGAAATAAAGCATTAAAATATCAAAGCCTCAAGTCCATCCCCTGTGCTGACTCCCAGCTGTCTGCTCTCTGTCCGTCCTCAAAGTTTTCTTTCATTCTCTGTATCTCTAATTCTCTTTCTCTGTCCTCAATGTTTCACTGTATCATTGTACCTCAATTACTACGCCGACAGAACAACTCTCGCAACACATTTATCTTTACATATCTGCTTACACAATACAAAACTATGTGCAAGTATCAAAGTCAAAAAGGTAATGTGCCAAAAGGTTGTGGGCCTTGCCACTATCCATCAAAATATCAAGTTATCAACTTTTCATCTCTGTGTTCGAGTGCTCTACCAAGTTTTCTAATTTCGTCCACTAATGTAATATTGTAACTGTGGTGTAACTGTGAAGTCGGCTACAGTATCTCCAGTTTGGTGCATTAGAAATGGGTCCGAAGGGCCCTGCCATAAGAAGTCCTCGATTATAAAAAACAAAAACAAATAAACAAACAAACTTTTCATCTCTCACCTTCATTCCTCTAAATCGGCTGGCAGTTTTTTTTTTGCTTTTTCTTTTAATTTTTTTTTTTAGACCAACATTTTCTTTCTTATCTCCTTGTCATCACCTAACAGTAGATATATATATATATATAAGTAACCAAACTAAATCAAGTCATGGGACCCGCCAAAAATCAATTTTCCATTCTTTTCTTCTAATTTCGTCTCGCAGTGCAATTCCTTTGCATCAGATTTGCACAATATATATATATATATATATATATATATACAATTACATAATAACCAAATCAAATAAACTGTCCCCGATAAGCCTCCAACCATAATTAAAAATTTAATTATAACAACTAAAAATAATGAAATTAATTAAAATCTTAAAATCCGGATTATCACATAAAATTAATGCCAAGCATAGATTAATTGGCTACAAATTTTGGTGTAATGCCAAATCAAAACAAGAAACAAGCTTTGCATAAATTGTTTTGCTCTGTTATTGATAAAGGATGATTTATGGCCTTTTGGCCTCGCCGGTGGAACCTACAAATTCACCAAAATCTCCAAATTTTCATTACCTTCAATTAATGTGTGCATGCATTAAATCCTCTGGAACACAAAGTCTGGATGCATGATTTTTTTTTTTTTGGTAAATAAAGTCCAAATGCGTGTTCTATATGAAAGTAATAATTTAACTTATAACAGATGCCTCGATAGTCCAGTAGTTAGTGCCTCTAGTGAATTTTGATAGTGTCAGGCTTCGACTCTTTGCACCTACTAATCTAACTTCTAACATTTCTTGTCTTGTAAAAAAATTATAATAATAATTTAACTTATAAGACAGCATAAACTTGTGATTGGCATATTAAAATTTAAATTTCTAAAGTCAGAAATGTTGTTCTGGACAGTTTGTTAAAAATTGTTGGACTGGACAGTTTGTTTTAACTTGGGACTGAACAGTACAATTTGTATTAGAAGATATTGTTTATGATTTTTAATCAGCCCTCAACTTTGGTGGAACTTGCATAACAAGGTTCAGGGTGTAACAACATATGTATATTCTACTTTTATGATGGTTTAAGCTTCTGAGGCAATTGATAGACAAACATGGTATAGGATCTCATGTTCTGAGAGGTCTTGGGTTAATCTGCATATAATTTCTCCTTTACTATGCAAATTTGCACCTTTTTGTCCACGAGGAAGACGGAATCACATGTGATGAAGGGTTTGAGAGCTTGATATACATCCGGGGACCAATCTTTTTATCAGTCTTTTCATCTATACTATGGAAAAATAACAAGTATGCTAATGTTAGATGTACTTGATATATGCCAGTGAAAGTTTGTCTTTCAAATTTTTTCTTTTTTTTTTTTTTTGCAGTGAAATTTATATGTGATGGAGTAGGAATATGTTATGATACAAGCTTGGATTCAATGCCCTTTTGTGAAGGAAAGATAAATAACAGATTCAGTTGTAAGAGCTTGAAACCTAGAGTAGTTTCTACTCACTCACTATTTAATTTTGAGACTTACACAGTTACACATGCTTATGGCATTAGCTACCTTATGGTCGTTTTACATTTCATATGTATAGAAGCAGAGTATATAGTGATCGGCTCGTGTACAAGAACAGTACAATACAATGACCTTTTATTACTCTGAATGCACATTCTAATGTCATTGCAATTTTCTTTTTATTCCTAGTATCTTATTTTATCTGTTCTTCTAATTTCTCTCCCTTGCACTCTGCAAGTGTTTTTCTTGTTTGATTATAATTTGAATATAGGAGTCGCGAGTTATTCATATTCCTTATTCTTTTCTCTGACTTCATACTGATTTTGCCTTTTCCCATGTAACGAGAACTAATACAGATCATGTTTTATCTATGACTCTCTATCTTTTCTCATCATCTTGCAATCAGAAGTGTTTATGTAAATATATATATATATATATATATATATATATATATATATATATATAATTCTTTGATTTCTAAGAACCATTTGGAATAGCAATAGCAACTGAAATAGAAAGCAACATTTAAACAAGAAAACACAAATGAACTCCATATATATAGATTATAATACAAACATAAAAGGAAAGTACAAGCAACACACAAACATAATAAGTAGATGAACCATGTACCCTAGCTGGAAGAAACTAAGAGAACAAGTATTTGCTCATCTCATACATACTATGAAATGGAATAACAATCTTGTATCATATATGAAAAGCAACACGATTCAAGGAGTAGTGGTTGAGTGAGGTGGGGAGATGAAATTAAGGGAAGTGCAAGTCCTTGGGCAGAGCTGGAATGGTTGGGATTGTGGACTTAGGAAGGTCAGGAAGATGGGGTAAAGCCGGGATTTCAGGAAGTTTTGGGACTTCTGGCTTTGGTGGAGTCGGCAACACAGGCTCTGGCAAAGTCGGGACATGAGGCAATGGTGGTAGCTCAGGCTTTGGCAATTCAGGCTTCGGAAGCTCAGGCAATATTGGTGGCAGCTTAGGTTTTGGTAGCGTTGGAACAAGAGGAATCGATGGCAATTCAGGCTTAGGAAGCTCTGGCAAGGTTACCTCCAAAAGGTGTCGCGCCTCACCCTGCATTGTGTTGCCATTCATCGAGAACAAAGTGACAAATGACAGCATGAAGAGAAAGGATAGATGTTGAAGAGCCATTGTTGGAGCAGATGAGAAGTGCCTCAAGATTCAAGCAAAGGGTTTTAAGCTTGATTGAGCATTCATAGGTTTCCATATCTAAGGGTTTAAATAGATGATGAGAAGGTTTGGTTGGTGGGAAGGGTTACGTGTTGTTAGTTCAAACTTCTCATCCATATCACATCCACAATTATCAATAATTTATATACTGTTATCTTCTTAATAATATCTTTGTTATCTGTTTTGTCTTGTTGGATTAGTTGGAGGTGTTAGCCGGTAATCTTGACTTCAATTCTTCAGCAATTTACATTCAAACTGGTTATTCAGTCCTACAACAATTTGTTCTGTAGTAATTTTTCTTTTTTTCTCCTTCTTCTAAAATTACTTGAACATCAGAATGTTATTGGCAAAGTGTACCACTCTTAGAATCATTGATGGTAAAACAAGTATTTCCATCAAAATTCCTTTTAAAGAAAACAAAAGCTGTATTTTTTGAAACAAATATAAAACATAGTAGGATTTCCAAAAAGTTAAAGGAAAATCATAATTTTTTTGTAACAACTCATGCAAGTTAATTCCATACTTCACTATTTTTATTTTTTTACAAAAGTTCGCACACACATTCACAATATTATCTTTAACAAGGCTAAAACCCATATTGCCCCTAACGGGACTAAAACCATTTAGGAGAGATCTTGCCGTCTCGACTAATAAGAGAAAGTTTGCTAATGCATTGTTGATTGATTATTGTAAAGGAGGTCTCATATATTGATCAGCACTACTTGACTCTCTAATCTCTATGTAACTAATGTAGTCCATCTGGCATCCACAAAACAGTAAATTAAGCAGGATTGTGTTCAATGACACAAATTTTGGATCATATATAGAGAAACAGAAAAGCTACTAGACGGTAATTTGCTTTTAAAACATTTTATATACCTGGAACATTGAAAGACATTTTATTTAAAATAAAACTAACTATTTGCATACCTGGAACATTGAAAGGCATTTTATTTAAAATAAAACTAACTATATGCATAAAATGCAAGCCCAACATTCACTTTTTAGGAGGTGCCCAAGATATACTAAGTTACATGCCTTGGCGGTGGGAAAGCGGTGACAACGACCCACTCCACCACATGGTATATATGATATTGTCCGCGCTCGGGTTTTACTCCAAAAGACCTCATACCAATTGGAGATAACACCACCACATAGAAGCACTTCACCTTTCTCTTACCAAGGCAGCGTAGGATTGTGCAACTGTAACTCACCCAGTATGGTAGCCTGCCAGTGTCTCGTACTTGCCCACAAGGTCGCCACACAGGCTTAGGAAGCTCAAGCAAGGTCATCTATAAAAGATGTTTTGCCTTTACCTCGATTGTGTTACCACCCATAGATAACAGACTTATAAGTTACAGAGGAAGACGAAAGGTCAGATGGTGGTAATGAGCCATTGTTACACGCTTGGAGCGATTACAAGTGCTCCATGCTATCTAAAAAAAGGTTTTTTTTTTTTTAACTTCTATTGAACATGAAAGTATTTTCATTCATATGACTATATAGAGATGAACATCTAGATTAAAAAGGTAGTCTGGAAAAAAAGTATCTTCAAATTTAGTCATGTGCTACTTGGAAAATATCTTCTACTGTTAAATATATATGCTTCTGCTACACCACTGTGGATAAGTTTCAATGGAGAGTAACTTATGAGTTTTAACCTTAACTTTGGCTTCCATGCAATAGAACTACATACAAACTGATAGGTTGTTTGACCGTAAAACGGAGTGGGATAGAAATGCCCACAATTGCAAATGGAACCCTTGAACTGATGGTGGCAACTTGGCTACTTGGCGCAGTAAGAAGCAGAGATATACCTCTGAGTGTCTCTGATGAGGTTGCAAGTTCACCTAGCCAAGTTATATTGGTGAATATCTATGTTTTTGTTGACTCAATCAAATGTAATATAATAGCTTTGGATTGCCTAATACATGCCTCTCAATGAAACCATAATGCCCCCAACTTTGATTAATTCAAGGGAGAATGACAAATAAGTCCTACTTACACTTTCTAAAATCAAATGTGATATTTTATAGATGCTTCTATAAAATGAAAGTAGGACTTTCATGTAATTTTTCCGTATTTAAAATGAATGTTAGCCATGCATAAACCACAAAAGTGCTTATTGGAAATTGAATGGCATGTGTATTTCAAACTTTGAGTGTACTAGTTTCGAAGTCTCTATAATTGTGTGGAGATGTAGAGAAGTATGTATATAGATATTTTTTAAGTATCTTTTCTTTTTAGAATTTATTGGAATTTTGTAATGTTTAATAAGTAGTGTAACTTAAAATTTTATATTATGTGGATCACACACATACATATAAAGTGTTGGACATGTGTTCAAAAAGTGTATGTGAAATGAATTCTTAACCAAAAAAATTAAAAATACTAAAGATAGTAGCATTTTATGAAAGTAATAGATTTTCGAAAAATCTTTTTCCAAGGATTCCCCCAACAATGATTATGTCATATGTACTTATTGAAATTTGAATATTTTTTCAAATTCTAAGTTTATATTTAAATATTCAAATTTGGAATTTTTTTTCAAATTCTAAGTTTATATTTAAATATAGAAATATTTGAATCCATGATTTGGTTAGTGGTTACTATGATTTCAATTAAGTTTATAGCTACTGTGATAGTCTTTTTTACCCATATGTTGTTGGCAGCATGCGGTATATTCTCATTTTACACGAAACTAGCATTTGTACTATTGTGAGAAAATTTTACATATTTAGTTGGAAAATTTTGTTGAAAAAACAAAATTTAGTGAGACAGCAAATTATTTTGCAAAAACTCCATTTCTATCCTATGAAATTTTGTTTTGTTTGTTTGTTTGTTTTTTGGTAAAGGCTTGAATCCTAACAAACTAACAAACTTGATAAGAGTAGACCATATATCTTTTCTTATCATCTTGCACTCAGCAAAGTGCTTATGTAAAGTGTAAGAAAAAATGTTTTTGCATTCTGTAATTTTTAAGAACCGCTTAAGCAAAAGCAACTGAAATAGAAAGCAACATTTAAACAAGCAAACTCAAATATTGATGTCTATATGTAATAAAGATATATGGGAAAGTACAAGTAACACACAAGCGTAATGAGTAGACGAACCATCTCCCCTAGCTGGAAGAAACTAGCAGAACAAGTACCGGCTCATCCCATACATGCACACATCAAACATTATCAAATACCAAACCTATAAAAAGGTTTATATGAAATGAAATAATAGTCTCCTATCATGAAAACATGATTCAAGGAGTAGTGGTTGAGTGATGTGGGCAGAGGAAATTAAGGAATGTGCAAGTCCTTTGGCAGGGTTGGAATGGTTGGGATTGTGGGCTTAGGCAGGCCAGCAAGATGGGGTAAAGCCGGGATTTCAGGCAGTTTTGGGACTTCTGGCTTTGGCAGAGTCGGAAACTCAGGCTTTGGCAAAGTCGGGACTTGAGGCAATTCAGGCTTAGGAAGCTCGGGCAATGGTGGCAGCTCAGGTTTTGGTAGTGTTGGAACATGAGGAAGCGGCGGCAATTCAGGCTTTTGAAACTCAGGCAAGGTTATCTCCATAAGGTGTCGCGCCTCACCCTGCATTGTGTTTCCATTCATCGTTAACAAAGTGACAAATGAAAGCAGAAAGAGAAATGATATATGCTGATGAAGAGCCATCGTTGGAGCAGATCAGATGACAAGTTCCGCAAGATTCAAGCAAAGGGTTTCAAGCTTGATTGAACGTGCATAGGTTTCCATATGTAAGGGTTTAAATAGATGATGAGGAGGTTTGGTTGGTGGGAAGAGTTGTGTATTGTTAGTTCAACTTCTCATCCATATCACTTCTACAATAATCTATTTAATGTAATCTTCATCATAATATCTTTGCTGTCTGTTTTGCCATGTAGGATTTGTTGGAGGTGTTAACTGGTAATCTTGACTTCAAGTCTTCAAACTGGTAGGTTATTCAATCCTTCAAGAATGGGGCATAGTTGGCAACTAAAATTTCCCGCAATTTGTCTAATTGGAAAATTTGGATGATTGAGCCATAGATCACATTTATGCAAATCAACGCCCTAAAAAAAGAATAAATTTCCTGTTACACGAACATTTATTTCCCGAAAAATAATATATATATTTAACATTTACCAAGAATGGGATGACAAGCCATAAAATGTGCACATCTAGAAATGCAATCAGGGGAAATGTGTTACAAGTATAAGCAAAAGGACTAACAATCTAGTTTCACTCTTGTGAATCTATCAAAGATCCAAATTTAAGTTAGCGGAAACAAACAGTTCTCTCTAATAATATGCAGGACCAGAATTCACCAATGGTGTGAAAATCATACTCCCTTGGCTGGAAAAAAAATGGATTTTCAAACATGACAAAAGCTCCTAAACTTCAAAACTACTCACCTATTTGATATTTATACCTTATCTTGTTAGTGTTGACTTTTTGTTGTGAACACTAACAATTCAGAAAAATCTTACTCCCTATGATAGTTACATCTTTTAAGCTGTGAATACACCTTTGTTAGAAATGATAAAAAAAATCATTTTATTTGCAATGTCTGTGTGTGGTGCAATTTAAACATTTTTTTTTTCTTTTCTTTTTTGTTCTCTGTCTTCTGTCTCGCAGTTCTCTGCCCGCTTGCTTTTCTTTTTTCTTTTTTTTTTCTTCTACACAATTAAGCTTGATTTCTCCCTCATTTCTTGGCGGATTTAAGTGCCGTTTGAGGCAAAACGAAGCCCACGACGAGCTCTACGCATCCATACTAACAATTTCAGTTTTGGTACTCATTTGTGCATTCGAGTTTAGAGACCCAATTTTAAGGATTTTGTTCAATTTAGAGGTAGGGGCTCTTAATCCATGTTTTTCTTGCTCCATTGTGAATTATATCTCTCTTGTTGTGACAAGCATGTTTAATTTGGAAGTTAATTGTTTCAATGATTATATAAATGATGTTTAGGAAAATTCATGATTATGAATATGAGTAGAAAAGCATGCTTAGAGGTTGTCCTGTTGTGTTTAATGTTTTGATAATTCATTTGGAGATGTTGAACATGATGTATGCTTAATTATGTGGTATAAAATTCTAAATGCCAAAATATTGAAAGCATGGGATATATATACATGTACATACCATTGGGTTTGCATGAAATGAGAGAAATTGTTCTTGAAATAAATATGGGGAATTTCAGGGAAGTGTTTTTGATGAAATGGTTTTATGCGAAACCCGGTCGCTGCGGGGTTACCAACGGGCCGGAGGTTAATATAGCCTAGAGGGGACTAGGGAGTCGCCCTAGCGTGGTTGAGCTAGCTGGGCCCCATAATGACGCCGCGAGGTTACCAAGGGTCAGGGACACTAGCCAATCCTCCTCTCGTGTCGCGGCGGGGCTATCAAAGGGCGGGCTGTATTAACAGTTTGGAAATGATGTTTTGGATTATGAAAATGGGGAGCGACATTGGCATGCATTTGCATTCCATGGTATTGCATTGTTTGCACTTAAGTTTGGTTGAAATGTTGTATTATCCCGACACAGTATGATCCCCATTCCTATTGATCTATTCTTTGTATGGATTCACGAGGACACAAGATGCGTGTCTTAAGTGTCACCTACTGAGCATATAGCTTACCCTGCATACTTATTATTTTTTTCAGGTTACAGGAAAGAAGTGGCGGATGACTTTCCACCACAGGCCTAATTTGAATTAGAAGACTTCTTTTTGCTATTTTTGTATTAAGTCCCATATTTTTGTAAAATATTAGTTTGTTATATTTGGTATAGAGATTCGTGAACTCTTGTTATTGTAACTATATTTTGGAACTGTAATTATAATAATTTGGATTAAACGGTATGTAGATGTACCACCATGAGATGAGCCACGTTGAGGTATAATGAACGGATAGATGGGATGTTGGAGTATATTAATTTTATTATGTGTTGGGACAGGTTGGAGGTGTTTTCAAAGGCCAAGAAGGGTCATTGCATTTTTTTTTTATTTTTTTTTTTATTTGAGCAGGTGGTTGTAGTCCCCTTTTTAGGGGAGGTTACGCCAAATTTTTTTAAAATTTTGGCATCAGTTAGGGTCGTTACATTATTCTTGTCCCCATTTTAATAAAAAAATGTGAATTTGAATAGATTTTTCTGAATTGCCTAAAGAGAAGAATAGCTTATTCTGAAAGTTTTTCCCTTTGTCCCTAATCAATATAAAATCATATAAATGAAAACCCAAGCATGCTCAATCAAGCTTCAAACCCCTTTTGGTTAAATCCCGAGGCTCACTTGTCTTCTCCAACAACGGCCTATCACCACCATTCACCCCCTCTTTTCCACTGTTGTTCATCCTGCAACAGAATCCAGGTAGAGGCAAGCCATTTTGTGGAGTAACCTTGCCCGAGGCACATAATTTCCACTAATTCCCCATGTCTCAAGAATCCCAACAGTACTGCAGCCTAAGCTGCCACCACTGCTCTATGTCCTAGCTTTTCCAGAGCCTGAGTTGTCTCCTGCCAAGCCAGAAGTGCTAAAACAGCCACCTATACTCCACTTCCTTGACCTTCCTTAGCCATGTCGTCCTCCATCTTAACACTCTTATAGGAATACTCTCCCCAAATCACTCAATGCTACCACTACCTCAATGTTAATGCTGTCCTATGTGTTCCAGAGGATTTGATGCAAGCATAGAAGCAGCTGAAAAATCGATTTACGACTTTCTGTATGGACAATTCATGTAACTTTTGTTCTTGTGACCACCTGTTAGGTGTTATGTTCGAGTTTAATTAGGACTTCTATTTTAAGTTACAAATGCAAGTACAGCCAGTAGCCATCCAGGATTAAAAAGATTGGTTGATGGGAACTGTTATTTGTTAGTTCTTGAAAACTTGATATATGTATTTGTTGCTGGTGTTGTGGGACTCTTTTATCTGTCTTTTCATCTATACTATGCTAATGCACAGTTAAATTTTCTTGGAAAAGAAGTCTTTAACATGCACACATTTCAGCAGAAGCAAACTCTTCATGAACTTAATATAAGCCAGTGAAAGATTGATTTTTTTTTTTTCCTTCCTGACAGTGAAATTCATATGTGATGGAGCAGGAATATTATTTGATGCGAAGAAAAGAGATATAAAATTCACGATAGATTATGTTGTAAGAGCTTGAATCCTAGACTTGTTTCTACCCACACTATACTATTTAATTTTGAGATTGACAGGCTTATCGCATTAGCTCCTTTATGTGTGTTTTACACACACACACACACATATATATATATAAGTGGAGTACGTACTGATCACTCGGGTGTATAATGACCTTTTACTACTCTAAATGCACATTCTAATGTCATTGAAAAACTATATATTTTCCTAGTACGTAGATCTGATTTATCTGTTTTTCTAATTTATCTGCCGCTTGCACTCTGCAAGAGTTTTTCATGCTTGATTATAATTAGAAATTTTGAATATAGGAGTCGTGAGATATTCATAATCCTCATTCTCTTTCTCTGGCTTCAAGGTGATTTTGCTATCTCCCGTGTAACATAATCTGCTCTTACAGATCATATTTCACATTCACTAAGTTATTGTGAACACTAGATGGAAGATCATTAGACAGTGTGAGAAAAGAAGGAAAAAACTAACAATCTTGATTAAGCCTTCCTAAAGACCATTTGTATCTTTCCTCATCACCTTGCACTCAGCAAAGTGCTTATGTAAAGTGTAAAAAAAAAAATGTAATTTCATTCTTTAATGTTTAAGAACCTTTTCGAATAGCAGAAGCAACTGACATAGAAAGCAACATTTTAAACAAGCAAACTTGAACAGTGAACTCTATATATATGTAATACAAACACAAACATAACCGCTCATGAGCAGTGGCAACCATCTCCTCTAGCTAGAAGGAAAGTAATAGAATGAGTATCGGCTTATTCCATACACACATCGAACATTACAAAATACCAAAACTATAAAAAGGTTTACTCTCCTATCATGAAAATTAAGTAGCATGGATCCAAGGAGTAGAAGTTGAGTGAGGTGGGGAGAGGAAATTATGGAATGTGCAAGTCCTTAGGCAGGGTTGGAATGGTTGGGATTGTGGGTTTAGGCAGGTCAGGAAGATGGAGTAAAGCCGGGATTTCAGGCAGTTTTGGGACTTCAGGCTTTGGCAGAGTCGGTAACTCAGGCTCTGGCAAAGTCGGGACATGAGGCAATGATGGTGGCTCTGGCTTTGGCAATTCAGGCTTAGGAAGGTCAGGCAAGGTTGTCTCCAAAAGGTGTCGTGCCTCACCCTGCATTGTGTTGACATTCATCGAGAACAAAGTGACAAATGACACCAGAAAGAGAAAGGATAGATGCTAGTGAAGAGCCATTGTTGGAGCAGATGAGAAGTGCCTCAAGATTCAAGCAAAGGGTTTTAAGCTTGGTTGAGCATTCATGGGTTTCCATATCTAAGGGTTTAAATAGATGATGAGAAGGTTTGGTTGGTGGGAAAGGTTGCGTTGTTAGTTCAAGTTCTCATCCAACTCACTTCCACAATTGTCTATAATTTGTAAAAAGTTTTCTTCATCATGATATCTTTGCAGTCTGTTTTGCCACGTGGGATTATAGTGTTGCGAAATTAAACAAAAAATACAAAAAATAGATCAAACACACATAAAAATGCACAAATTTTATTTGATTCATCCAAAATCAGGGTTACGTCTAAGGATTACAAGGATTT